CGGTCCTGACGATGCCGAAAGAGTCATAGAACCAGAAGGAGATCTTGTCGCTCTTGAACATCGAGCCGATGCTGTGTATACGAGTACCGTTGGTGGAAGACATGACTTCGAGCGCATAGCTCGCGGCCTGGTAGTGTGCGTCTGTGGCGACGGATTTCCCGGCACCGGGGGACTGTCCCGAGCTCGGGTCAAGTTTTGGCTTCTTTGCGGCGGAAACCTCGGCGTCCATCTCGTCGAGCAGCCGCTTGCGACCGACTTTCCTCGTGTTCATTGCGACGTTGTCCTTGACGACCTGCAAAGGAGTATCAGTCTCGGGGGCATCGTGACGGTAGTAAATGACGCACGGTGGCCTGTCGAACACTTGCCCTCCCGGGCTTGGCTTTTGGGGCAGGTGCAGGCGGCTTTGGAGGTTCAATGTGCCTCGCGTTGGCCTTGATCTTCTTCCGGTACTCTTTGAACTCGACGAAGTAGAGGAGAGACGTCCACTCCAAGCCCACGGGAGATTCGCCAGATGCCGAACGCTGCAGTCGTGCCACTTGATTCCTGCGTATCCCAACAACGTCGGGTTTTCTCTTCGCTCCGTTCATACCATGCAGTGCGTTCGTAAGAAAGTACCACGGGTCGTTACGGACAAATGTGAAGTCTTCGATCGGATATTTTGCGCGTCTAGACAGTAGCGTCCCCTTCGCGAGCTCGAGAACCTTGTTAGCAATCTTACAAAACGGCTCATACCGCTCCGTCTCATGTGAGGCCTCGCAGAACGCGTACAGCTGCGCCTGAATCTCCGGGTCTTCGAACCACCCATGATGCTTCGCCTTTCGAACCCACATCTCCAATTTCTTCCTGTCAAGTTCAAGCACGGCATCGAGCCATAGATACATGTCCACAATGCGCGAGTGCTCCTTGAGGTCTCTCTGGATAAACGGCTTGATGCGCTCGTGAGTGTGAGCGGCCAGCTCTTGGCTGGACGTCGTCATCTTGAGTGGCGTCGACAAAATCTGATTGACATGAGATGCAAGGCCGTTGAGGACGGCTGCACGGCGTGCGGCGCGTCCACGGGGGGTGGAACGGTCGACGCGAGGCTTGTGTCTGGCGCGGTTTGTGGCCATGGTGAGAAGTTAGCCAATGAGGAGATGCGAGGACCAACTCACCAAGACAAAGACTATATATATTTATTGATATGTCCTAAAGCGTCCAAACGTGATCTGAGCGACACAATGGCGATATTAGTGCCTAGACCAGGATGTGGTCCAAGCTCAATCTCAACTTTCCTTGTTAGGTATTGAGTAGGCGGGCGCCAGATAAGTTCTCACGTCAACCAGCATGGGGGGCGTTGGGGGCACGCACAGTGCTGTTCATCCGCGTTCGCGCACGCGTAGAAAGATAGCATTTTATAGTGAATTTTGATGTGTATTTATGGCGGATTTATCTGCCATTCGAGTTCAGTACTGCGCCAGGTTGGAACCAATAATACCGCCGAAGCGCTTCTGGTAATTCTTTGATAAGATAAGCGCTCTGTTGGAGCCCAGCTCCGAGTCTGGTGACTGGCAATAGCTAACCTCTGGCTTTTTAGAGTATCCACTCGGGCTGTTATATTCTGTAGAACTTACACAAGGTTGATCTGTCGCGATTCTGGCGAGAAATAGGTCACGGCCGACCATGATCGCCGGCCTGAATCGACTCAGAGAGTCGCATCAAGTTCTTCAAATGACGACAGCCACCTACCGGTACTCTATCCTGAAATGCCAGCAATCGCTGTTACTAGAGCACTTAATATTATATTATTTCTCTATTCGTCTGCTTCGAGGTCAACATTAATTTTGGGCAACGTTGGAGGCACCAGTAGAGCCGCGAGTGGATGCGGTGGCACCGTCCGCCAAGGTAATAAAGTCTGACAGAGTACCGGAAGGAATAGCCCCACGCAAACCTTGACAGAACCATCTAAGTGGGAGCCCTGAGTGTTCCAAGCTCCGCCGTTACGCTCATCGTCCGCCGTGCAGTAAGTTAGACATTTCCACATCAACATAAGGTCGTGTACTAGTAGGCCGCGTGCATGCCGGTAAACTACGACTCTCTGATGCGTAATACATCTGAGAGCCAAGAGTTTCGAGCCAAACACGTCACCTCCAAAACACGCCCCATATTCACAAACAGTTTACCAGCCCGTCTCATTCTTAGAAGATGGTATCCGCCCAAGCACCACCGTAGAACACTGCGAAATTGCGAGAATTGAGTCACATCACGAGCGATAGAGACAAGAGACTTACAGAAGTCCAACGTGGACTTGACCTGAAGATCGGTTCCCGGAGTGCACGTCTAGGGATGAAGAGTCAGCCGCTGTCAGAACTAAGATAACCCTCGCAGGCGTTCACGTACGGTGTTCGGGGCCTGACCACCGTTAGAGTTGATCCTGAACACCTGGTCCGCCAGCTGTCCAGCCTTCTTCCCGTTGATCACAAGCACAGGCTCAACAAGCCAGTTCGAGTTGACCGAAGGGTCGTTCGGAGCGGGGACGTTGGCCGACTCGCCGGCGACCAAGTACGCATTCGCCTTGTTGGTGTCATTCTCCATCCGCTCGGACTGGCTGAAGTCCCACTTGGCGTAGATATTACCGCTCGTCGCATTGACCGGATC